ATCACCCCCTTTCTACCCACCACATAAAATCGGACCAGATTTCCACTCACGTAAGTACGTTATACCTATACGATTTGCAGTGCATGCATCGACCCACATTTATCTTAACATCAGCTGCACGTTACCACTGCGCAACTGCACCCCCCGATAAAAAGTGTTTTCAGGTACCAATTACGTAATCAAAAAGATCCGGTGACGTCACTACGCATATTCAAAGGGAAACTAAATTTAGCAGAGAAAAAATGCTTAAAAACAGCGTATACCTATTTTTTGTTTTATGGTAAAAAAAAAGAAAAAAATTCATTCCGCGAAATCAAGTTATGAGAATAATTAAAAGATTTTTCAAAATTTCCAATTTTGTCGTGTTCGATCTTCCGAGAAGTCACATACGCGTGACCGCGAACGTCACAGGACATGGACGGTGGAGGTTCGAGAGTCGTCGAATAAAAACGTAGAAGAAAGACAGGAAGGATCGAAGAAAAAGAGGTGTATCGAGCCGAGTGAGAAGAAGCGGATAAAACGAACGAGAGTCGAGATAGAAAAACAAGTGGTGAAAAAAGGATGAAAAAGGAAAACAATAAGGAGACCGTCAAGTATCAAAGGTGAAGAGACGAAATCGAGGTGGCGCAGCGAGACTACGGTGGCGTGCGATTCTACGAAATCAACAATGGCAGCCATCTTGGTACGGAGCTGCGCTTCCTCGAGGAGTCCGATGCCTTATAACGATATTCCGTCGAGATATCGAATGCGCAACGTAGCAGTAAGTGCTCGTACAATCGGTATCGTCATACACGGCCGAGTATAAGTCGATATCGCGCGACTTTCTCAGAACCCAACGCCGACGTCTCTTGCGTACGACGGACATTAATCTCGCGATGATCTACGACGTGTCCTTTGCGCATAATGCGCGGCCCCATTGAATCAAGTGCCCGTTGATAATAGGTCGATAACCACCAACTGAAAATCGTGCGCGATCGATAAAATCGCAAATAGGAAGTAATCGAAAAAAAAAAAATTTTCAAAAAAATTTTCAAAATTTTTCTTCGCAAAAAAAATTTTTTTTAAATCTCCAATTTTTCATATACAGTCACGTACCTGTTCGTGAAAGGTGTCCCTGTTGAGGAATTTCATGGGTTCCAGGTGCGAGTGGAATTGCTCGACGACTGTCAATTGTTTTTTAAGTAAATGTTCTATGATGTATCCCATAGTGACGTCATCGGGTAGCCTGATTCTGTCGCCCACGGTGATGAATTTTCCGCCCCTGAAATAAAAAACGTAAAAAAGCCCGCATGAGAATCGGCGCCCCGTTAATATATATTTTACGTAAATTAGAATGAGACACGTGATCGCTCGTAGTTGCGGCATGACAAGAGAGCATGAATTTTGAATTTAATTTCCACGAGGTTTCCCGCGCTTGGAATGCGTCAGTGTCGGCATAAGGTATATATACGCTATATTACCGCCATCTCGCGGCAGTTTAATGGAAGTAAATATTACACAGCTTGGGAACGAGGAAGATGGCTCGCATAAATATTAAGGGGAGTCGTGCTAAGACCCTGGATCATCCCGAGACACAGAGACAAGGATCGTCGCGTTTGTGATACGTACTTCTCCGTACACCTTTTAATACATATTCGCGTCCCGCTCGGTAATCTCGCCGACCTGAAAATGTCCGTGACGGGGTACACTCGGACCCCATGGTCGAGGATATGCTTGTACGATTTATAGATCGTTCACAGGAGGATTTATCGCCACTCGTCCAGACCGCATCGGAGAAGAATGACTAAAGTGAATAACCGGCGTGGGCATTAATAATCAGACCCAGGTTGCGCTAGGTACGTACCTGTAGCTGCAGGTACTAAAGAGAACAGTTATATATATATATATATATATATATATATATATATGCTTCATTTCTGAACCTATAAAAGACTCGTATAAACGAAGCTAGGTTAGATACATGAAGAATAAGAAGAGCGATATAGTTCCAACGAAGATACCACGTTATTTATAGTAAAACGCATATACACAAGATTTTGGGCCTTACGACGGACCCAAAGTATCTTGATTCGATATACGTATGAAATTATAGACGCGGTCGTATACGCATATCCAGCTTGGTATATAAAAAATAGCATAAGGCCCAAAACTCGAACGACAGCCAGTCCCAGTTTCGTCCCAGTAAGACGAGATAAAAGCAGCAGGTGCAGCAAGGGGGCCCGGTCCAGATCTCCATACGTCGGAATGTTGCCAAATTAAAAGCGGCAGGCCAGCGAGTAATTAAATGTATCCCGCGGAGACCCACTGAGTGTGCTCAAAAATTTCGGACCGGAAGTCAGGAATAAAACCCGAACACCCAATCCCTTAGATTATCCAAAATCCATGTAGCTCCGTGTTACACGATATTGCCCCGAAATTCTCACCCCGAAAACGTATTGTACAACGTTCCGAATTAGCGGCCATATAAGGCCGAAAAATGTTGATCCACGATATCGGATGTTTAACGATCGACCAAGGCAATTTAGCCCGAACAAAGGATTCTCTCACGGTTTTCCATATAACGTCCGAAGTCACGCGGCGGCATTCGTGAACAAATCCGAAAGGAGAATGCGACAGAGAGTGCTGCGACCAGATCGTGGAAGGTGAGGAAGGTGGAAGGAAAGAGTGACTGAAAGGAGGAAGGTTCATTGGAGGTTAGGTGAACCCACGAAGAAGGGTAACCCGTACCGAACGGTCCAAAGACATAAATCCACCCAATTAGGGAGGCAACAGGTAGTCACAAGTTCGAAAGCATCAACGCCCCCCCCCCTCCTCCTCCTTCTCCACCGCCCCTCA